ACTCGGGAGTTTTCACATCCTAAACAGTCTAAATACATGCATTGCATCGCATCAAATTGTTTTCCTGTGTACTTGGAAATGGCTGTGCTAAGGAAACTGTAGATTTCTGAAATTCTAGCAAGCCTTGCAGATGTCTTTTTGTGCATGGGGTGTTACAGGTGGGTGCTTTGTACCCAGCAAGTTGTCCTTTCCCATACAAGTTACTCTAAGCGTTTCTGGCACCTGCATTACTTCACGCACCAAAAATAGGCTGAGAAATGCTGCTTTAAAAAATACTTATGCTATCTTCTTCCGATACAGGTACTGAGGCATTTTGCATCCTCGCAAACTCCTTAAGCTCCATTCACTTACTTACAGCAACGTGTTGTTCCAAATGTGTAACCTTTGACTTTAAACAAATGAAACTTAACTGGCCACAAAGCAGACAGCTTCATCTGCTGCGAGTAGAAGTGTATCAATGCGGTATTAAAACCTGATTTAAAAACAGACTGTGAGAGGCCCAAACTAGCAGAACTGCTGTAATGCTTTAGCAGACTGATGGAAAGCAAAGCATATGCTTTCCTTAAAGAAACAAACCCAAAACTAATGAAAGGTGAGCCCAGCTGTGGCCACACCCTTCAGCTACTGGTTTACCACGCTATGTCTCAATCCCCCAAACGCTCCACATGGAACCAGGCAACGCAAAGCGGGAGGGGGAGGAGTAGTTCATGCTTTATAAAGCATTGTTTTAACTTTTGCTTATGTTCAGTATGACAAAGAATTGAGCAGAACAGTGTCCGCAAAAGCGAGCAGCTTAGCGCTTCTGTGACTGCCGATAATGAACTTGGTCCACAGACACAGGCTACAGTTAGTTGGATTTGTGCTGTCTGTACTGGGATGGATTTTAACTGGTACCTGTAACTATTTACCAGACTGGAAAAATCTCAACTTGGACTTAAACGTACTGGAGCTTTGGACCATGGGACTCTGGCAAACCTGTATAGTCCAAGACGTAGGAGGAACGCAGTGTAAAGATTTTGATTCTTTCCTAGATTTGCCTCTAGAATTCAAGATTTCCAGGATTTTAGTATCTGCATCAAATGGACTAGGACTTCTGAGCCTTGTGATCTCCAGTCTTGGTTTGGACTGCCTAAAGAGGGAGGATACAGAGCAGAAGCTAAAGAAACAGCTGTTACTACTTGGAGGAATACTCCTGTGGATGTCGGGAGTTCTGGCCTTAGTCCCTGTTTCTTGGGTTGCCCATACGATAATCCAGGAATTTTGGGATGAAGACATCCCAGAGATTGTGCCCAGATGGGAAATAGGGGATGCGCTGTTCAGTGGTTGGTTTGGCGGATTTTTTATAATTCTAGGAGGATCTCTACTCCTCTCCACACTCTGCTTATCATCTGACCATCAATTACCAGAGTGGTATGCAATGGCAGATACGCAAGATACCCATCAACATCTGGAAATTGGAAATAGAAGACTTTAAAAAGGGTAGATATCAGGTTTTCAGATTTTTTTTACTCTTGCATTACAGTAAGAAAGGTCTGCTGAACAGACAGGTTACTGTTTACAAGATGGGGGAGGGACTGTTTTACTAAGTAGTTCCTTTAATCACTACTTACCCTCAATTTTAATTACATTAATTGATGAGCTACAGAGATCTAAGTCACCACTGTATTTCTCGAAGGTCTGATCAATTGCAGATTTTGTTTTTGTAGTGGTGTTTTTGTTGTGTGTGGTGTGGTGTGTGTGGTGGTTTGTGTTTGTTTTTTTTTTAGCATGAGTATAAAATTTTTCTTAATCTCTAGGCATGCATGGAGAGTTTACCATCTTTTAAAGGGCAGAACCCCTACTGGGGCTGCTTTAAACAATGTCTTTTTTACAAAAATAATATTAGTTTAAGTCCTGAAACAGTCTGTAGTGCCAGTTCAACATGCATTACAAAAACCTAATACAGCACAACCTTGAATGAAGTTCCCTGGACCTGTATCACTTACACTAGTGTAAACTAGATGTTCTCAGACAGAATGTCATGCAATACAAGACTCTCCATCTCGTGTGTGTGTGTGTGTGTGTGTGAATATATGAATCACTGTAACCCTGCACAATCTAGCCCTCCAAGGAAAGCCAGCATTTCTGACTAATGATGAGATGTTGTCCAGTGCAGAGCTGACCACGTGCATTGCTACTGCAGTTTTTACTTAATGGATGCAAAGAAGTAACTTCAAGTATATGAATCGCTTTCTATAGAACTTTCTTATCCTAAGACTTGTCAGTGATTGATGTGAACTTTCTATAAATTGCAATGATTTTACATTGACAAAGCTGTAGCAGCCATCTGTTTCTGCGAAGAGCACATAAAGACATAGAACAGCAATAAAGGAATTAAATAAAACACTGGTCTGGAAAAGAGCTTTGTTAAAAAATGTATTTTCCAATCGCTGAAACACATGGAAAGTGCAGAGACAAGTTAATCTATGTGATGTATTTGCATACTCTTACAGACAAAATTAGAACAGAAACACATTCAGAATATAACCTGATTAAATATTTAGTTCAGTCCTGAGCATTTGATATTTAATACAGTATAAACATAGCAATAGTAAAAAAAAAAAATCTTAAAATTATTTGATTTGTATTCTATTACAATTTCTGCTAAACTTTGCTCATTTGGCTAAATAGTCTTGTACCAGTAATACTTAGATTTTGATATATGCAACTGCAGTGACATTGGTACCTGGAAATAGAAGTAATTACATTCGTTATACCCTGCTGTGCAGAGTAAATTCCACTTCAAGAGAAATATTTATAATTTTAAACTGGTGGGGGTTTATTTGTAGATATTACTTTAGTTTATTCTATTGAGTGTTTCAAGTGTGAATAATCTGAATTAGTAAAAAACCCCCAAAACTCCAAACCCAGAATTGTTAAAAGCTGCCTATAAATTTCCAATTTAGAAAGTGAGGAGCGTGAATGTGTTTAGATATCTCCTTTTTAAATGAGTTTTGCAAGCTAAAGCCAGCAATACTTTAATTTTGACCTCACCTCATGCCTACAAATCAGATGATAATACTTTTTTTGAAAATTATTCAACACGTGAGGAGAAACAGCTAGTTTGACAAGAACTTAGACAGCTCTAAATATTTTTCACAATAGCATCCTTAATGTCAAATATTTTTATGGCCAGAACTGAACTATATTAAACAGAACATAAATAAGACTGCAAATAAATAAAAGAAAAATCATAAAGTACACCTCTAAACATCATTCTACAAACAACTTATATAATCAAATCGAGAAGTTGAAACTGTCAACCTTCATTTCACCTCTACATTAAATAATTCCAGATTTGTTTTTTTTTTTTAAATTGACCTTTCAAACATGAATGTTGTCTCGAACCCAAGAAACAAAAAACAAATGGGGCATTCATTCATAAAGGATGTTCAATCAGTCATCTTGCCCCAAATAGCATGTTTGGCTATACATTTAAGTGAACTGATGTATTTGTGCACAAGAAAACCCTTGACCCAGAATTGTCACTTTGAATTTGAGACAGCTGCTACCATATTGTGGTGATATTTGCCTCTATTTTCTCACCAAGTAATTATAGCCTTTTTGAAAGATGAAGTCCATGAGTATGTGGCTTGTTCTTTGGGGAAGAAAATGTTGGCCAGAGAATTAAATACATCTGAGTGCAACATATTAAGTAGAAAATGAAATAATTCTGTTAGCTGCAATGTCCACCTACTTACACAGTACCCGCAGAAGGTAAGACCCCAGCTGCTTCACCAAGACAGGGCTGCTTAAACACCTCCATCTGATGTCCTGGTCTTCTTACAGAATGAATTGATGCTTCTTCCTAGCAGGCTGCTTCACGTAAGACAAACTTGAAACGTGCCCTTTACATCTATTTATTAAACCTGTGCACCCTCAGCTGCATACAGGGTCAACTGTGTATTTTTGAAAATGTTATTTATTGTACTGAAATAGGTGAAGACTTCTAGTCAGGAACTTTTCTTTTTCAGAAAGGGTTTACCTTACCAACAAGACTTCTGATATTTGAGTTAGCATGCAACAGATTTTTCTCCTGGTACAAATACTTCAATGAAAACATCTTCGTATTTGTAAACCTAACACACGCTTTTACGTATTCCTAGCTGGCAATAAAACAGCCCCTAGGACAAAAGAGTAACAGAGAGAAACTCTCCTTTTTAAGTATACAGTGGCTATAACTGTTCTGATTTCGGTGTTGGTATTATGAATTTGATTCAGCTTCCAGTTCAGAAGGCAGCTGCCCCTTTTGGTAATCTCATAGTAAGTTTTTAGGGTTACTTGTCTGCCTTGCCTTTCTCACTCTCCCGCAGATGCAAGAAACCTTTTAGTGCAGGTTAAAGTACTGTACATTCACAAAACTAAATTCTGAACTCTGTCTCTTCCTACAAAGTATTAAAAAACAAAACCAGAAGAAATTTGTTTTCAGAAACAAAATTCCAATGTGGGTGATGAATCTAATTAGCAGCTGTTGTGAGGCAGCCTTGATGTTTTGGAAAGGAGCTTATGCTTGTGGTTAACTTTAAACTACAAAAGTCACACTCTTGTACAAAAATATTGCATGGCAAAACAGCCATCTTCACAGTCTGCTCACATGAAAACAGTGAAAAGATAAACAATCTTCTGTTGAACGTAATATTTCTCAACACAGTGCGGTTCAACAGGATACATGCTTAGTACTGCCTTTGTTCCTTTGTTCCATCTTTACAAAATAAAAACACATGCAATACATACAAACTGTACAAAATCAGCATCAGTATACCAAAATTAATCTACTTTGGTTTTCCGGTTGTTGGGGTTTTTTGCCATTTTTTAAGCATACAACAATTCAATTCACTATATTTTACAAATAAACATATCAATAGCAAATGTAGAATAGAAGATCTTTAAAAGCAGGTCACTGGAAAGTTCATCTGAAAAGAGATGAGCAAGTGGACAAACACTTCAATGGAAATGCATAATTATACATCGTCAGCTGGAAGGGCTGGTATACTGATCTTTGCTCTTGTGAAGTATGCTATCTTCTCCCTGAAATTAGAAAAGAAAACAAGTTATTATTTTACTACTTAGGGCAGGACTCCAATGTCATCTGCTGTACAGTTGCTAAAGTTACAGCATAGTTCTTTAAAATACAGGTTTGGAAAATATACAGTGAGGAAAATACACAGGGAATTTAGTTACAACAAATGTGGTTGCCGAAGCATTCTGACATAATTCCCTTCTTAGGCAGAGTTATGTAAAAAGCAGCTCCAATTCTGAAAAAGAAAAACCCCAGTATTTCATTAATAGTTCCAACGATGAGACCGACATATCGATCTAGTCACTGAATTTCCTATGATGCTATTTCAGTGCGGGGATGAAAAGGCAAAATAAAATATTTGATCCTGACTTGGGAAAAGGGGAGGGGGGGGGAATTGGGTCTGGGCAAGACTCAGAGAAACAGAATTGTCAACCCATTCTCTGCTTGCTTCCCCTGTGCTGTTACCATTTCTGTCTCCTATGAACTGAGAGATGACTGAAGTGTAATGAGTTTACACAAGCTTGTCTGCCAGCAGCCTAGAAAGCAGATGATAAGTATTGGGGGCTTAAAAATTAAAGCTCAGAAGAGTCATTCTTGAGAGCTTCAAAAATGCCTTTTTGTGATTAGTCTTTGAGGCCACAGCACTGTAACAAGTCCAACTAGCTGGGTGAGTACAATTCAGCCTCAGGAGGTAACTCTTTGTCCAGCAGACTAAACCACGTTTTCCACTGGTAAAGCTTGAGTTCCCATCAGAAACAGTAGCTCAGAGCAAAATCAACTATGTAAACTGGATTGCTCGGCTAATTGTGCGGTGATTAGAAGATAAAGGAGAACGGAGTCTTACGATACCCTTCTTGCAGGGGAATGATGTCTTGAGCACTATTACATGTTCCTGTAAATTTGTGCAGCAGACTGTCTGCGATGACTGTTAAATGATCAGCACCGACCAAAACTCCTTCTCAGGACTTGCAGAGAACGTGAAAACTGTTTGGAGATGCTCTGAATTTCACAGTGAAGACAAACAGCTCAGCTGTAACGCTTCTTTGCTGAGGAACCCCTTTCCTTTCTCTCTTGCTTTGATTCTGCATCACTTACAGTTGTAGTTTTCAATGTGTGCCTTGCAGGCCCCTGTTTGCTTATGGACTTCTCAAACTGCTCACAATAGACTGAGTTAAAAAAGGAAAAAAATCCTCACACGTATTAGCGGCTAACTTAAACTTCCTAGACAGGAATTCAGAAGTCAAACTTTAAAAACACGCGTTGGTGAAAAAACAGATCAAATTAGCTTGCAGTACTGCTTCTGTGTGGAAGAGTAAGCATTGTATTTTTCAACCAACAGGTTCATATTTCATTTTATATAGAAGTGTGGCCTTTAGGCTGCTAGCCTGCCACTTACTGTCCAGCCTTTTAGGAATTCACACCAGTTAGAATTAAATTTTGAGATAGAAAGTGCTCATTCTGGTTTATGCTAAGCAAGAACACTTGCTTAATTGCTTCATGTAATCGGTTGCTGTTCCTGCAACCAAGAGGAGGAGGGAAACAAAAAGGAGGAGGGATTCAAGATCCCTCTTGAATAATAAGCCCTGAGCAAGGCACGAGTAGCGGTTAATCAGTTTCCTGATGAGACGTACACTGTTCTACTACTCCTTGAGGGGCGATTTGCTTCAGGCACCTGCCATCACCGGAAAAGATCCCATTACTTGAAGTCCACTGTCAGCCTGCTGTGGGGGAGGTGAGCCATGGCAGTGGTCACACATGTCCTTGCCCACAGCAGATGCCGCAGAGTGGGCTGAAACTTTTCACTCTGCTTCCTCACCACCACCACAGCTCAGCGGACATACTGCCACTTCCGCCACATGAGCAAGTTACCGAGGCCCGGTCCTTCGAAACTCCAGCTTCGAGCTGTGTTGGAAATGCGTGATGTTTCTTGCAATTCAAAGGCGTGTGGATTTTTGACTAATGTTACAGGGCACGACAATTATATTTAGAAATAATTCTAAATTCATGTTACTTCACTACATTAAAAAGAGCATGAAAAGGCGAACAGGCCATACCTGAATGACTGCACCTGCAGTGGCACTTTCTGGCTCTGCTCCCGTAACCGGCATACATCCTTAGAAGCTTTTCTCATCAATTTCTCAGCACTTAAACCTTGCTTCTGTTCTTCTTTTGACTGTTCAGCCTGTAAATGGGAAAAATAACTATATTTTGCTAATAATGAACAACTATTCATTTCAAAGAAATGACAAATTCTGTGTCAAGCAAAACACTTGGCAGTGTTAGGTTTATGTGATTTTTGACGTGAACATTGTTGAGCAGCTACGTACCCCCTAGTAAGTTACAGTATTTCTGTACCTCAGTATTGCTGGCTATTACACATGTCTTTAAAAAACACCGCCGCATCAACAGGACAATCGCAGCTGTACCGTCCACCATTTCAGCGACAGTCTGCTATTAAGAGTTGTGTTTTTGTTTTAAAAAAAAAAAATATCAAGGGTTTCTGAATGCCCAATAATTTGAACAGCAGCTCTTTCTAGGTGGGCAGTCACCTGGATTTCTTAGACAAACAGCCACTATTCATATGCAGATGAGTCCCATAACGCATACCTTACCACCCCCATCGTGTGGGGTGCATGGCACAGGCAATGCCACCTCGTGTGTGCACTTAGCTTCATGTCTAGACTGCAGGGACTGTCAGACAAATGTTATTTACTGCATTTTTAATTTTGCCAGCCATCAAAATTTAATAGAAGCAGTTCACGTTCTCAAACAATTTGAAAAGTTCTTTAGAGGTTAATTTTTGACACTTAACTGTAGGCACTCAGACTTGAAAATGCTGTTCTGCTACCTCAAATTAAAACGCACACCCAAGCCAGAAACAGCGACCTTCAAAGTTAGTTTGTAACTTAGCAGTTCACGTCTCCAGTTCTGAATTCAACCCAGTAGGCTCCCAAACAACAAAACCAACTAATTCAAAGAAGTTAGTCCATACTATCAGTTTCATAGCGGGTATTTATAGAAATCTGTTCACAGCAGGACAGTGCTGTGTGTTGAAATGCACTCCAGTGTTTTATATGAAAGTGTTTTACATGAAAGAGCACCACCCTTTCACAAAGTCACTCAAAACCCAGTCAGCTTGTACTGCTGTTAACTTTTTCACTCCCCAACTCCAAAATAGCTATGATTTAAAAATTAAATTAACCTATACATATTGTTTTCATTATTAGTTAGAGAACATAAATTTGCAATCTACAACTGGTAGCGTATTAATTAATTTTACATATGTCACTGGCTATGTTTTATCAGCTCCCCTAGTTAACATTTTATCAAAGCACTAAATAGACAATATTTCAAAATTTTTCTAATTTTATTTTTTCCCTAACTACACATGAGATTCTTGTGACTGCTGCATTTCAGGTTAACAGCATAGATGACTTCTTTGTTTTAATACTCTCTATTACCATGTACTCCCTTTTCATTTTTTTAATCCTTTTATTTTTTCAGGATGCTCTCAGAGAAACTTTGATTTCAGCCCTATGTCTCTAAAAGTATGCATGTGATAAGGTATGTACAAGACCAGGTTTATATTTACATCAAGTTTCTTGAGTGATTTATAAAGATAGTGAATCCTCCATCTATATAAAATAGCACACTAATACACTGGCCATACATTCAGTAAGTGCCAAAAATCTGGCACTTACCTGCCAAAAATGAGTGCCCGACAGGAATCTCTGTATCTGTGCTTAGCTTAAGCATGAGAAAAAGAAGAAACACGATCAAAATTAAAGCTGAAACACTAAGTCCTATCTTGTTCTTCAGTGTTTTTTATATAGAAGAATGAAAGTGAATCTAAAGAAAAACTGTTAACTGTGCTAAGCACCAAAACACTGAACAAGGACATATTTGTGGTACTAATGACATAATTACAGACTACCTCTACATAGAAGATGCACCAACAGAAATAAAGATGATCTTTACAGATATTCACAGGAATCTTTTTTGGACATACACAAAGAGGAAGTACTTCAGAGGACACGAGGTGTCTGAAAACTTGCTTCTATGAGGATTTAAGACTCAAAGTTTGAACTAGCACACGAGTTCTCACAAAAATGCAATCTAAACCAGAGAAAATGCTTCTGGTGCACAGGATCGCCTACTGTTTTCTGATCTGCGGGTATTAGTGGGCTTTACATACTTGCTGTACTTAGGAAGGTGTGGTAGGAAGGGGAGGGAAGGTATGGAGTCCGTGTATTTGGCTTCAAGCAGAGTAACTCCGTGCTAGTAAGCAGCCACTGATTATCAACATCCCCCACATCTGTGGTTTCATTTTTCACTCGAGACTCTCAATTTCTCTGGCACCTCCAGCTGCTGCATTAGTCTGCACCATTATAATGCCTGCAGGATCTAAAAAATAATCTATGACAATGTTCTCTAGGCTGCTGTGTTTTTCTAACCCAAGAGGAAACACTGACAGCAGAGTACAGCATTCTCAGGGTTGTTTTGCTCCACAGGGGAAGGCTGCAACAATTTTAAGGGTAAAAATATTTCTAGAAACTTTGTAAGCACTCTTCAAAGAGGTGGAGTGGCTGTGATCATTGCTCTGACTTTTAGCTTGGAAAAGAAGGACTTAAATGCTGTGCTGCAGGCTGCATATATTTTAGGAACGTATATTATTACCCTTATTCCTCATCGCAGTGTGTGTCATGGTGTTGAACACTGACACCAGAGATACAAAATATGACAAACCTATCTGCTGCCTTGAAAGAGCCAGCTGAAATAAGAAAGCACAAATCCAAAGGATTTATAATATTAAATGTTGCAGAGGCATGCTCTATTCTAGTGGGAATAGCTTTAGAGTAGGAGTAGTTTTAAATTAAATAAACAATTAAAAATTAACATTTCTGTCCTACATCCAGCATTAGATATAAACTATGAACTTCTAAATAAATTTAGCTATGCTTCTTCATATAAGCCACTATTTTTATGGGTTAAAACTTACTTAGAAAGATCAAATTAAATACAATGAATTCACATGGTAAAACATAGAGTTACACTGTGTGACGTTTAAACGTTGTGCTGTCTTATTCCCATTTCGCCCAAGGGTTTTCAAAACACGCGTCAATGCTCAGCCGAAACTCTGCTAGTATTTTAGAGCCATTTTAGAACTCCACTATCTATAGCCAACAGCAGATGCCAAGGAAAGAGAGACAGGAAGACAGGGAGGACAGAACAGGGCATAAACATAGAGCTGGGAGAACATATTGGGAAAAAGTTTTGTTTCCTAAGCTATCAAGGTCTTCTTAAGTAGGTGATATCATTATGCTTAATGACTTCTGATGGATTTTTCTTCCCTGAATGTATTTAACTGCTTTTTGAACCTACGCAAACTTGCAGCACTCACAATGTTCTGTGGAAAACATTTTTACAGTTTCTAAATGTTGTGCGATGTTTGCTTGCATTTAAACTGCCACCTCTTCAATTCTCTACTTCCTGTATTATAAAAGACAAGGATTAATTGCTCTCCTCCACCTCACTCATGATTTTATAGACTTCAGTTGTAGTTACTTAGCCACTCCTAACATGGAAGCTGTTTCCTCCTTTGACCGTCCTTGTCGACCCTCTGTAGTTTTATTACCCACTTTGTGAAGGGGAACCAGAACTGAACAATGTTTAAGTTATAGGCATAACATGTATTTATATCATAAAACAATGATTTGTTTTGTTCCAACTGCTTTTCTTAGTAATTCCTGCCTTACTTGCTTTTTGACATCTGCTGAGCGCTGTGATGTTTTTGCTGATGTTTTTGTTTCTTATATGCGGAGTATCTCATTCCTAACATCTAATTCAGAGCTCAGCTTTGTATATGTAAATATGAGGATCATCCCTTCCCTCCTTTACACAAGGCTATTTACTGACATTTAACTTTTTTTAAAAACAAAACAAAAACCCCCAAACAACTGTTGCTTAAATATTAGGTCCTCTGCACCTTGTTAAAATTGCTTTCCATTTTTATGACTCTGAATAACTTGGTGTCATCAAAACACTCATCTCTATCAACCATAGGTAGCTGAAGAGTACAAATCCCTCCTGGATGTCACTAGCAACCTCCCCTCATTGAAAACTGAGGTACACTGACTGACACAGACGGGAAGGGGGGCTCCAGAGGTCATCTACTCCAACCTCCTGCTCAGAGCACGTGAAGCTAGAGCTGGGTACTCAGGGTCTTGTCCAGTTAGATTCTGAGTATCTCCAACCATGGAAGTTGGGCCCCTATTCCAGTGTATGATCACCCTCACAATTTAAAAAAACAAACCAAAACACAACCTCCCCAAAACAAAACAAAAACCCCACAACATCCAACCTATTCATGCATCTTGTCGGAATTTTCCATGTTCCAGCTTGTCACCGTTGCCTCTCACTCCTCCTATCCTGTTTCTTGTCTTTTATCTACATGAGGGCATCCCATCTTACCTTATGGCAGTTTGGAGACAGTGAATATATACTTGTATTGATTTAGAGACCAGCACATAGAGAGCAGAATTTGGCTTTTCTTTGCCAAAACTAGAACAATTATGTCCTGCATAAGGAAATAAAGCCACAGTGGAAGTACTGCCTTTCCCACATGCGCCTACCACTGTAAGTAATGGTCATTGCCTCTCTCTACCTCTTACAAAAATCTTCTGGCTACAAGTTCTGTGCAGACTGTAAATCAACTGATGCTGAAGGACAAAAAGCATATGCATGTCTGTAGAAGTATGGCTGGGACGTGAGAATTTTAAATTAACATTTAAGTAAATGCTATTTTACGACACCAACCACAACTATTACTCCAAATAATAGAGTTTCTACTCTGAATTACTAAAGTATTTAGAGGGCACTAGAAAAATACTACCTCAAATTCTAGGTTTAAATGCTGTTTAAATGCTAATACAGAAATATTGTTTACGCTATGTAATTCAGAGGTGTAATTAGTCAAATGTGAGCTTCTGTAGAAATCTTTAACATGATAGACGGAATTCTTGAACGAATTTATAGAAAAGGTAGGGGCATAAGTGTATTTATTCACACGATATCTGTATGCTGCTCGTACCTGTTTTTCAGCTTGTTTCAAGAGTTTCTGGAATCGCTCATCCTCTAGCACACACAGGGGAAGGTCCGTCTCTCCTCTGCCTTTCATTTCCTCAAGCTTTTGTTTAAGATCCCGCAAGGCCTGAAGCTCATCATTCAGACGATTCTGTCTTGTGCGTGATGCCTGGAGGTCCAGCTCCAAGTCAAGGGAAGTGCGTATGGGGCACTCTTGCGTAGCTCTTCGCATGATTGGTTGGCAAACAGGCTGAATCATTTGGAAGACAGAACAATAAAAATTAATATCTAGAGAGGCTAGTGTAGGGTTTGACACAATACAGTCAGAAAAGCTCCAATATTTTTTGTTTTTCTTTAGCAGAAAGCTGCTATGATGAGATCCAAGTCCAAAAATTCATCTATTCTGGAATTTTTCTTCAGTCACTAGCTAAAAATAAATGCAAAAATTTCTCCAACCAGGTGTACAATGATGTATTTATGGGTTAAAACCAAAAACCCCATTCTGATCCTCAGGACAACACAATGCCAGGAGATCAACACTACACAGACTTCCCCACAGATTTCAACTACATTGTTTATTTTTATAAACATTTGCTTTTTCAAGGCCTAAGCAAACACATAATGTTACGAACTCTGTGAAAGTGCATTTCTTTAGTGTATTTCACATTATTTACTGTCCTTTCACTGTACATTTTTGCATGAATAAGTCAGGCAGGAGAAGCCATCCCAGACTATTCAGTATTTCTTTCTTATGCCAAATGTAATCCTGCTACCTGGTAACAACCCTTCCACAGAAGTGTTTTTTTAGTTACAATCAAGATTAAAATTTAATTCTCAACTTATGTAAGAGTGAACTCCATGCAACAGAAATAAAAATCTTATTCTCATCCTTCAATCCTTTTGCTACTCAAACACTCCTGGAGAAGAGTAAATCCCCTCTAAAAGGACATCTGAATCCTTGAAATGTCCACCAAAATTTGTTCAAGATATATGTTGCTGGTGTTGACTTTTGCGCAGCGTAATCCAGATCCCTTTGACAGTAACAAGCTAAAGTCCAACAGTAAATGCCACAATGCTGAGCACCAGTGTCTTGCTGCTGGCTTCAGCCACAACTAGAACAACTTAAGCTTTGTTGGTGGGGGAAGATGTAGGACTGAGACCACTGTGTTGAGATTTCAACCTGAAACCACAGGACTACATGTGGTACTTGCATTGCTTTTGCTGCAATACTTGAAATAAAGCATATAGTTTAAGTTGTTTGTTATTCCTTCTCTCCCCATACTTTATTTTAAACCATGTCAAAGCAACATAGCACATACCCGTTTAACTCTTAGGCTCCGCCGTTCCGTGGCATTTCTCACAAAGAGAGACTTTTTGGCTAGTGTTGAGCTGTCGCTGTCACTTCGATTCAACTGTCAAAATGTACATAACAGAGATATAAAGCATCTTCATATATAAATACATCTGTATTGATATAACCAGTCAGAAAACCTCAGTGTTGATATACATGTAGGTCATTCTTAGTATAAAGTAAAAACTTTTTCAACTAGAGTAAGTGTCTACTCTAAAATTTTATTCCTAAACCAAAGACAACCATTCGTTCAATCGTAGAATGGTTTGGGCTGAAAGGGACCTCTAAAGGTCACCTAGTCCAACCCCCCCTGCCGCAGGCAGGGACATCTTCAACTAGATCAGGTTGCTCAGAGCCCCATCCAACCTGACCTTGAATGTTTCCAGGGATGGGGCATCACTGATCTTACTGAATGAATAATAAGGCAACTCTTTAGGAATGCAAGGAAGGTAACTATGGTTATTAAGTGCTGCCAAATCACTGTCTGGCTTTTATATCACTGCAGATTATAAACTATGGATTTCATTTACCTGGGGCAGGGTTTTAACAAATTTACTGCAGGGAAGGTAAATTACTGTAGACATGCACCTGTCCAACAAATGGTATTTTTGTATTATTATTATTTGTAACAAGTATAGGTGTGCCTACAGCTTCCTTCAGAAGCACTTCCTGCTTCTCAAAAATAGGCACCACAGCTCGGCAGTAGTTTCTTCTTAATTATAGCATTAGTTCCACATACATCAGCGCAGACTGATTGTTACATGTATCAGCATGCGTGGCGGTAACCTTCAAAGAAAACAGAAGCATCTATCTGCAGGATATTTATTTCACCTCTTCAGAAAAGGACAGACAAAAAGAACCATTCCGCTAACATTTCAATATCAAAGCCAGAGCCCTAAAGTATGTTTACACAGGACTGACTGGGAGTTGGGGGTGAGAAATACAACCTCTTGCAATACGAATACACCTCTCGAAAGACACACCCGTCTCTTCACCATGGAGCCACTACTGGGAACTCAGCCCTGGGTACGCACAGGTGGCTATCACCACCGATGTTCTTTAAGCACTTCTCAAGGGATATTTTCAAAGGCACCAACAGACTTTGGGTCTGCCCTTTAGGCCTCAAAAATCTTTGTGTTTCCTGTAACATCGTATGAGAGTAGGTGCTTTCTTAAAGCTATAGGCCGCCTCTTCTGAAAAGAGAGCGGCTGGCAGTTAGCCCGAGCGTATCCAACAGATGCTTTCCTCCAGTATAGCACCACAAAGCAAGCGAGGCTGGGTATGCTTGTGGCGTGAGCTGGGGACTAGGACCGGGCAGACCCGAGTTGTTCAGCCCTCTCCGTGGACTCGGATGCAGCTACAGTGCCCACGCTTGAGCCCCGACAGCGGACTACAAGTATTTCTGAAGCTGCAAAAGATTCATCTGTGCAAACATGGGTGTTTCCTAGGCTACTTTGCTTCCAGGAAATACTGTACACAATGAGAAAGCAAATGGTTTATTCAAGTTATGTTTTTTTAGATTCTGGCTTCTGGCAGCAGGTTCACAGCAATGTTCAAAGCTACAAAAGCCCAGTACTTTTCCAGATGCAAAAACCTCAGGAGTTTATACTAACTAAATTATCAGAGCAACTAGTGTTACTTCCTGTCAAAGACCTCCACAGGCAGTAAGCTAAGGCTACGGTTTTTTGCCAATACAATTAATTTCCAGAGTACAGGAATTAAGATGAAGGCTAGGTTCTGAATTCAGCCAATAATCTACCCAAATTATGTAAAGATTGTTACAAAACGATCTGCTGTTTCATTCTAGAGGGTATATGGAGTAGTTATTTAAGTATGTAGATACTGACTATAGATTTTTTTCTTTTTTTTTTTTAAGCCAATGATAATCACAGAGAAGTGATCAACTTTAGTGTTCCCAAATGATTAAGGCAACCAGCTGTAACTGAACTGGAGAAGAATTAAAGCATAAGTTTTTTTGGTGGGTTTTTTTTGTTTGGGTTTTTTTTTTTTTTAAGTCATACTTGTGTGAGTAACCTGTTGTCGTGGTTTAACCCCAGCCGGCAACTAAGCACCACACAGCCTCTTGCTCACTCCCGCGCGGTGGGATGGGGGAGGGAATCTGAAGGGTAAAAGTGAGAAAACTCGTGGGTTGAGATAAAGACAGTTTAATAGGTAAAGCAAAAGCTGCACATGCAAGCAAAGCAAAACAAGGAATTCCTTCACTCCTTCCCATCGGCAGGCAGGTGTTCAGCCATCTCCAGGAAAGCAGGGCTCCATCACGAGTCCCCCAGGTTTACATGCTGAGCATGACGTCATATGGTATGGAATATCCCTTTAGTCAGTTGGGGTCAGCTGTCCCAGCTGTGCCCCCTCCCAACTTCTTGTGCCCCCCCAGCCTCCTCGCTGGTGCGGTGGTGTGAGAAGCAGAAAAGGCCTTGACTCTGTGTAAGCCCTGCTCAGTGGTAACTAAAACATCCCTGTGTTATCAACACTGTTTTCAGCACAAATCCAAAACACAGCCCCATACCAGCTACTACGAAGAACACTTACTCTACCCAAGCCAAAACCAACACACCTGTAGAAACTGAAGATCAAAACCAAACTGCCTTTCTAGGGTGTCTGTAATTAAAATCTATAGAGCTAGTAATCCATGCTTAAATCTTTAAACACATGATTTTCACAGTTTGTTTAGCAGCAACGGGGCTGATAATTTAAGTCTTTTTTTTCCATGCTACCATAGATCTAGAGAGAGCGGAGAACTTTGTTGCCAAAGCCATGTTTAAAACTCAGCCCTAGGCAGTGCTCGCACACCTTTCAAAGATGTAATTACAGCAGGATTTGGGCTGCCCGGTTTTAAAACCAGTTGAGATACAAAGTGAGATTTAAAATTGGTGACTGAGCTCTTTCTGCACTGTTACCCTTAAATGGTTACATTACTAAAATATGGTAATGCAATGGCAGTTTACAGTGAACTCTATGTTTTAACAAATTATTTTGCTGCGTGAGAGCTGTAGTTGCTGACATGCAGTGAAACACACTTTTTGCAGACAGTCAGCACAGGAATCCGTGTTACTTCTCTCCAATGGGATGCATTTTTGCCCTAGTAAAGGTGTTTTGCAAGAGTATGCAACTCTGCTGAAAGTCAATTCTACTATGCATCAGGTCAGTT